GAAGTCGGTGAATTTCGTTCTTGAAAATTCTACCCTGAGGCTTGCGGCTGCAGATGTTCAATGCTGATACCGACGCAAAGAACTGCCACACGTCCCGATCGTGTATTCACGTTCAGAGGAGCCGTTATTATAACCCCAAAGAAGCGCTAGCAACATGTGGTGACATGAGTTTGCTTTTGGCTACCCTGACACGGCATCCTACGCTTGTTAATCAACATTACATCCATCCTTCGGTTTAATCCATGGCTACTGTTGCTCTCGGTAGAAACATTTCAAAACGTAACTTTTAATTATAATAATACAGTACAATGCTGAGGGTATGATAAGTTTTCCAGCAACTCTGGACCTTTTCTTTTGAAAGTGTGACGCTCTTAGACGAATCAGACTGCAATATTCATCGCCTTACGCTCGCTCTTAACAATCTCAGTCTGAAGCAGTGGCCATCCGTACGATTGCAATGCGCGTTGATATGCCAACTTCCTTGAATGGGAGTGGGGGAGGGGGCTAACAGAGCCTGGTGCCGAGATCTGTCCTCTTAGTCACGAGTTCTCTTACAGAAACTGCTTCATTTCAGCACTTATATCTGTCATCTTTGCTTGGGTATTCTTTCTCGTAACGCTACTCCGCTAAGTTTGAATCTATTTTTTGGAGATTAGCCAGTTTATGTTCTCATTATCCAGAATGAGTGAATAATTGCCGAAGTAGGATCAGCTTCCATGCAGACTTCGAACTTAATTGGATGAAGGGCATCTTGGCTAAAAGGAGATGGCTATAGTAATCGAATGACGAGGGTTCGCATTATTATGTGTTAAACAAGAATCAGTCAGCTGGTGCCAAGTTACTAAGGCCACTGAGAGGAGACGAGGTGTATAGTTTCGAGTCCCACTGTGTCAATGATAAGTTTCATTTTACACTTTCGCCTCATCTCGCCTCACCTCACTATATACGTCAGGTCGGCTTCGCTACACATTAGGTTGAAGCGAGAAGTCACAGGGCTTAGACCTTGGCCATTTTCATAAAACAACCTTGAGCCTGTGAAACGCATAATTTACAACGCTTTTGTTTTCAACTGTCAAAATACTTCTCACTTAAGACACCTCAATCTCAAACAATGAGTTTACTTTAACCAGCACAATGTGGCTAATGCCAACATCATGAATGATCTACTAAATGATTTGTTCTTGATCATTCATACAGCTCAATGCAAACTATCTAGCGAACGGGCGAATTAACGGGTTAATTCGCGAATTGGTAGTATTTCGGACTTAAGACTAACGTGGATTTATTGGCACTCCAAGGGTTCATTACTTTCTAGGTGCTTGTAAAAACATATCTTGATTTACGTAAAAGTTTTATTGTCAATGAAAGTCCCTCTCTAGGTGGACCCTTTGATTTGTCCTGAATATGAGTAAATTAAAAGTAAAATGGTTCAAATACTGTACAATAAAACAGAATTGCAAGACCAGTACGCTTGTTAATCTGAAATCGTCTAGTCCATTCCTATAAATGCATGATGCACCTTGTATCAAATGGGTTCCAGAACCTTTCTCAGTCCATAGGTACAAAGCCGTTGAGCGGAATGCCTACCTGTCAGGCGTACGAACTTCAGATACACTGAGAACGAGCGAATAAACTGAAGCTAGACTGCAGAAAGAAACTGGTCGATGATGCGCGCAATTGAAAAATGAGATCTATACTTATATATATTTAACAAGTACATCAATAAATGATCCTACGAATTTTCTACAATAATGATTTGCAATATTTTCTCAATTAGAATTTCCCCAATTCATTAAAGGCAATACAAACGGCGTCATTCACGCGAATATATTTTTGGGAAGAGATTTACAAATGATCATTACATACGCGTAGCTGAGTAATGTCCGAATGAAAAGAATCGAATTGTTCACGATTTATATCCTCCCGCAAACTGAATATGTTTCACTTAAATTTCGTTATTATGATTTTAATCAATAAGTAAACATAATCGAGATTTAAAAATATACACAACTTCCTCACGTTTCGAGAAAATGCATAAATATTATACTGAATTACAAAACATTCCAATTTTAACATCCACCTACATCAGAATAGACTTTTTTATCGTATTTTAAGAAAATATGAAGAAAACAAGCTTTTTTAAATGTTAAATGATTTATTAGGTTTCGAAAGGTATTTTACTCTGGAGAGATATACTGTCTCCAGAGTTCGAAATAAAGAAGAGGCTTTTAGGCGACAACAACAAACAGCCATAAGGAACATTCACAGAGAAGTTAAATCGTGCCCGCGTGCTCCGTCGCGTCGACCGCCGCAGACGTGTCTTTAATTCATTGCTGCGCGTCGGGTCGCTCGCCAGCGCCCGGGCCGAGCGACAAGATGGCGGCGGCGGCAGCGACAAGGATCGATGGGCGTGGCCTCCGCTCCCTCTGCGCGCGCGCGGCCGCGGCCTCCTCGGCGTCCCGACGCCCTGCGCCCCTCGCGACGGCAGGCGGCAGGCAGGCAGGCGGCCGCCGCGACGTCCGGGCTCGCGCTCGAACCGCAGAGAGCCAGCCCGCACTGCCGCGATTCAGCCGAAACCTCTTCGTTGAAATCAGGGGCGGTTACAAGGAACTTAAGTTCGGGCGCATACTAACCTTAAGTTATTAGGAATACTACTACTTATAATTAACGTTTCATATATTATTGATATTTTCATAAATAATAGAATATCAGGTACTCTTCATGATTTACTTTTATAAAATATAACGTTCAAATTCATTATTAAAAGTTTAAACTGATTGCCGCAATGTAAATGTAAATCAATATGAGAAAAACGGTAATTAAAACCAAAAGTACTTTTAAGATCTTACTTGGTCAAATGATTTCTTAAACTTTCTTTGTTTTAAAAATCTGTTAACTAATTTCAATTACTTAGTCCCTAACTAAATATACTGTTTTTCATTTTTCATTTCATGGGCACTATTTTCCCTATCGACCCTCCCCTAGTTAAAAAGTTGTTCTTATGAAATGACGATGCGAAGATGGGTATTAACGCACGAGTATGAAAGTGCTATTATGATGTGGAACGAGACACTGCATTAATACTCACTACATCAAGTTTTTGGGAGTACGTTTTCTACGAATAACGACAACTATTTGTCGAACGAAACATTTAATATAACGATGATTAATGACTAAGTATGTTTTAGTGTATGATTTGTAAACTTTTGTTTGGTCTGTGTGATTGGTCAAACACCTGTACTATAATGATGCGCTATCATAGGGGACAATTATTGTGTAACGAACTGCAACCATTTGTATTATATACAATGGAAGGATAAATATTTTATTTTATAACAACATTATCGCTCGATACAGTAACCAAAAACCAAAATAATCTATTATAGTATAGTCATATTCTTTTGAATGTGAAATGGAGGATATGAGTATGTGAAATACTCGTATTATAGTACTTTACACTGTACACGAGTGAGTGTCGTAAACTCCATTCCTCTATATTTATATCCAAAATTTTGATTTTTCACACTGTACTTTCTGTTTGACTATAAAAACTATAGGAGTTGAACCTAGTTATCATTGACGCCTTTTCTCGTACTTCTACGATGATTAATTTCATGATACACCGTTTAATATTATAGTTTTTTCCTTTATCATTTGTTGCGTTTTAGTTAACTGCACATTAAGCCTGAAAGGTTGAAAATTTGTACTATATAAAACTTTTATCATAATTAATACCGTTACAAAACGAGCTACTGTCATCTAATAAGTGTGCAATTCTAGTAAATAGAGGATACGTCTATTGAACGATTGTTTATTTGCGCATCCGATTGCCTCTTGCGTAGTAGGCATCCCGCAACACATTTTTCTCTTCAGTTAAAATTTTCGAAATTAGGAGCGATAACATACATTTTAGGAAACTATCACGATAATATGAACAATTATGACTTAGCACATTCATTAACGGTCAAGAGTTTTAAGCGTTAGATGGGGAACAAAAATAAGACTCTCAACGAAACACTTTACCTTCCTTTGCGTTGACAGCAGCACAACCCACTTTAACATTAGCTTGAAGCAAGAATTAAGTGAGTTTTATATATATATATATATATATATATATATATATATATATATATATATATATATATATATACACTCTTTTGAAGTACTTGGCAGGGGAAAAAATCCGGTGAACACACTCTTCAGAGTTGTTGTATTTTTTGGGATCATATTTCAAGTGGTTCTCATTTCACATATTTTTGCTCTTAATTACATCCGAATCTGAGCACTCGGAAATATAATAGCCAAAAAACGTGTGCGTTCTAAACAGATTCTGTACTCGGCACCATCGCTCTGTGACAGTCGACTACCGAAGTAGAATAAGATTCTAAGTTGAGTCATGGTGTACCTATGCTTCAAAAATCATTTAAATCGGCTGAGCAGTCTAAGGCCGCCACAATTACTGCAACTTTTGTGGCACGTGGGATAGTTTTCACTTTTGCTTTGTGAAACGATTTTAGGAATACTAATTTAACAAAACTCACTATTACATAATATTTCAAACGCAGTCTGCATATACTTCATATCACTGCTAACAGTTATTTCAAGATTTTAACACTATTATCCTAATATCTTATTTAATATCGAAGAAAACTTTAAAACACGGCAAAAGAATAAGGCATTTATACAATATCGTAACAAAATATTTTTATATGCCGTAAAGAAGTGGCATTTATAAGAAATGTCAATATAAACATACAAATATTTCCATATTAAAAATGTTAAAATTGTCGTATTAAAATTATGTGGCTTCAGAGGTAATTTGTACTCTACCGTGTAAATCCAAATTAATAAATCTGCCAAGGAAGACCTTCAAATATATTACTACTGACATTCACTAAAATATATTTTCAACTCCTCGCCGACACTCAAATACATCACTAGCATTTGCAACGGCAAACGCAGGTTCCCTGGTCCTCGGCTGTGTTGCGCGAGGCACTCACCTTCCCGTGCTCTTTGTCGAAGTCGCATTCACGTGTGGGGTCCGCCATGCTGTAGCCGTTGGCGCTCGGATTGAACACCAGTTGCATGTTGGTGCCGGTGGCCACGAACGCCTGGAACACCACACACGTCTGTGAGTTCTCTTCCATCTAATGTTCTACCAGTTTCAAAGACAATGACAACATGGGGAATAAGGAGACCGTGACTGCATGCTTTGCACTCGCAAGCCAGACTGGCGCTTGAAGTTAGGTGAAAATTTTATTATTATTATTATTATTATTATTATTATTATTATTATTATTATTATTATTATTATTACCTTAGGCCTTCATAGAATAAATAACAAAAAAATTCCATTACTTACGAAATCGGTTGTGCGGCGGTCAATATGTTTAGGAATACAAACTTTCTCTCAAAATAATCAATAAATAAGGAATACATTTTCTTGGAAAAGGAAAAGCCACACAGCATTTTTTTTATAAAATCAATTGTTTCGATTAATCTTAACGCACCCGATACTGTAAAATTCTTAACGCATGATAGCCGTCAAGGGTGGCTTTTCGTTCCTTTGTTTGGTTGCGTTAAGACGATGTAACAAATAGGAAAAACATAATTTCATAGTCACGATTTTTTGGCATATGACGTACAAGCATTATTTATAGAAAAATATCTGTCCGTGACTGGTCAAGTCATTAAAAATTATCTGCATTTAATTCGAAAATACGACTTGCATGCATTCTTTGTCGTTTTTAAATCATCTTAAGGTGAACTCAATTATGTTATCAATATCGATATTATTTCAGACAAGATTTGAAGACATAAAATGAGGCAGACTCCATTCTTAGTAGTAATATTTTGACTTCAGGAAATGATTCAATAAATATTGAATAACAGTGGGGTAATTGTTAACAGTGAAATTGGAAAAAGATAATTATTAGAGTGGGTGGACAATTAAACATCACTGTGAAATAATTTAGAAAGTGCTCGCAGATTCAGTCAGATATAAACGATTCGTTACAGTAATAAGTATATATAGTAATATCTCTTTTGAATGCAATGTTCACTCTATCCAATACACTTATGGAAATCTAAAACAGAAAACATTTGATTATGAATGAATCTGGAATAAAACGAAAGTTGCGACCAAAATCATTTGATATAAAATTGTAACTATCAAATTAATCTTTCATTGTGGTAAATAGAAGTGTATTGCTATTTCTAAATCCTTGAAATTCTCTCAATAATTAAGCACGCATTTACGTGTTTAATAAGGGATGTATATAAATGATGAGAATACTGTTCCAAAACATACGAATTGCTGGATCAGTTCATCAACATTCAAACATGTATTTGGTGAGACAAATAACGTATACTGTAAATTACAAAATTAGTTTATTGAATTTTTGCAATTCTTTTTGTAGCCTAATCTGCAATTGACTACCAAAAAGTAAACATAAGCCCTATGGGAGTAAAGTAGCGTAAAAACAGTGTACACTTTTGAAACTATGCCGAACATTTTTAACTTGAAGAATAAAATTAAATAATTTTCGTCAATGTTTCGTATATTTTATCTCTCAGAAATTAAAAATTTCGAAGAAACCGGAATTTCACTACTTTAGCCTCAACTATCGAGGTTCGCAATATATAAATTTTTAAATATCAATTTTATCAAACTTTTTTACATTAATTTTGCTTTTGTTCACATTTCTACTTTTTTTGTACCTGGTATCACTTTACGGAAACATCCAAATGTCCCTCACTAGCCATTTGTATCCGCCCGGGTTAAACATTTGGACAATTTCTGGTGGGGCCCGCGCACCACCTGGCGGCTGCCTGCAGGTTGCCGTGCCGCGGGGCTCATTTGGTCGGAGCGGCGCGGGGGCGCGGCGCGGACAGCGTGAGGGGGCGGACCCGTCTCACGGCCCATTGCGCCTCGCCCGTTCGCTGCCCGCCCCGCCCCGGCCCCACATACACAGAGATACCGCTCCATCCCCGCTCACCCAGAGTGCTGTATTAAGAGAAACTGCCTGTTTCGAATCGCTTCCGACGAAGCTGCTTTTTGTTGAGAGGATGGAAGGCATCTTCATTCCATTTTCCCCATGAAACGAAATGTCTACCTTGGTTGACTTTCTTTGCCGCAAATTTCGCCGTTTAATGATCTCAATCATTATTATGATCGATTAATATGACACATTGCAAGAGCAACCACTTTATTTCGCAATAAGGAAATAACCTTATTTCGATACAGACTAACTGAAAAAATCTACAGTCCAGATACGAATGGCAAAAATTCAAAATTATGTTTTGAGAAAACTTTAATTTGTTGGTGTTTTGAACTGGGTGTGCGCGTAATGTCCTTACACAAAGTACAACAGCTCGTCGGTTTGGAATTACTAGAGAACATTAATTTCAAATGTTACGATTTATACACTCGGGTAAATGATTATAATTTTATTAGCCCGTTTCATGCAGTTAGTCAATGAATAGCGCATGAGTAAATATTTTAGCCTCCTCCTGTAGAAAATAGTATAAATACTTTGCAGTGAAACACTATAGTATTTCTACTTGAAAAATAGCACTGTTGAGAGGCACATGGAATCAATATGCTTCTTCTTTTATTTCACCCGTTTAGCAGTATTCATTCATTCAAACATTCAAATTCGTGAAATATGTTGTTGGAGTAACTGGAACAATTAAGTTATTCTCTTTTCACAAAACATTAGAAACAGATTTTCTGCTAGTTTGAAAAGTATGATAATATTTGGCTTAAAATTAGATGTAACGTGTGGAATTTAGAGTATCCGATAGCGCGAGGAAGGAACGCAGTTTACAGTTAATCACTAGAACAACTTTCAAAAGCACTAAACCCCACACTGTCCTTAACTCCGTGTTGCGACTCTCATATATTCAGCACTGTTGACATAAGAGAGGATCGTCCCAGCGGAGGTACACAGATTCACTTACCGGAAACAACAATTCATTGTGTCGAATCCTACAAATGCTCGGCGCGAGGTCACAGATCACGTCGTCGTGCGCGTTTCTATACATTTCGTCGACCTCCCGCCATAAATCATTTCTCCCTGCCTGGGGAAGGAGGCGGCTGGGGCCGTTTTCACAGAAACGTCTGAATGGCGTGAGCCAGGGCCTTTTCACGCACGAGAGCGGTGATCCGGCGCGGGTCAGTGTTGCCACTCGACGCCGGCGAGGGTGAGGGTGAGGGGGTGCCCCGGCTCCTTTCGGCGCGAGCCCAATGTTTGGGACGTTTTCTTGGCTCTGAATTGGGGAGACTGCCCCCCCCCCCTCCGAGCACGAAATGCCGAGTGACGCAGGTAGAATTGGGCCGGCGATTCCCTTCCGACGAGGAGGGCCCCGTCTCTCGAAAGCCGAAGGTTTTGGAAGTGATATCTCAATAATTTTAGCCCAAGGTTGCGTTTGCCAAAGGCCGGGGAGTGCTCAAGAACGTATCTGAAAACTGAGAGGAATTTGTGGTTGGGGAACTTCGAACGTCGCACTAAATTAGTTAACATTCCAAAGACGATCCAAAGCTCATCCAACTACAATTTAATGAGATAGCACAATTAGTACGGTCCAAGAAAATCTTGAAATTCTGGAGTGATAAAATGAAAATTAAATATACATTCTTATGAATTTATTCATTAATGTTACAAAACACGTGAATAACTGTCATTACATAAATTTATGTAAGGTAAAGAAAAAGCTTTTCAGAAAAGAATGTGGGGTGTTAGTTCTACAGATTTTAATCTTTCTTTCGTCAACCAATAACTTGTTAGAAAGTATATTTCCACGTTTTTCGATCCATAGTAAGAGGACATTAAAACACAAGAAGAAAATCGTGATTTTTCGCATGTCGTCAAACCTCACACTCAGGTCAAATTTTATTAAAATGAATTACAACTATTTCCTTCTTCTCATGAGCTTAATTTTCCTTGTAACATGTGAGAATTCCGCGAGTTGTTTCGAGCGAGATTGGTGATTGGCCCTGCGTAGGAGCCCCTCGGTCGGGCCGAGAGAGCGCCGTGAAGGGCGCTGCCGGCGCGGGCGGAGGCAGGGGCAGGCGGCCCCGGGGGCCCGCCGTCCCGTCCGTCTTGCGCCGCGCGCCCCCCGCTGCGCGACCACGCGGAAGCCTGGCGGCTCGTTAATCGATATGTCACCCTAATCGATAGATCTGTCAGGCAAACGCTCCCCGAAAGGAAACGCGAGAGCCTAAGAGAGAGAGAGAGAGAAGTAGGTTTCTGATTGTAACTTGCCTCTCAGGGCGTTTACGAGTCGCGGAAAAACTCGGCATGTTGAACACTCTGTCGCAATAGTACAACGAGAATACTTTTTTTAAGCAAATATTTGAAATTATATTCTTACAGAAGGTTAAGAAACGTGTCTTGGTGTAAACAACTATCTGTCAAAGGGAAGAAAACATTTTGTGCAACAACACACTCTTTGTGATTAAGGGAAACTACATAATAAAAAATGTTAAACTTTGAAAATCTACATGACTTTTACTTTGCAATTGAATGAAATTATATAAAACAAAAGTATTTTGTAATAAGACAAATTCTATCGCCCCGTAAGCCCCGCTTAGCTTCATTCCGGTCACGGACATGTACACAAATCCAGTCCTCATAACAAAGGAGACTTTATAAAACCAATAAGGAAAAACGTTGATGTCGAATAAAAAGAATAAAGATTTATTTTTCTAAAAAACTTTTGTGGAATGGTTTGAAGGATAAGTTAGATCTATTGATTAACGTATATACGGAATGTTTCAAATCACACAGATGATAAACAAGATTCGAAAGACAAAACTTTCTTTGTAACGTGATGCTGGCTGAAACGTTACTCAGAAATTCTATTATTTGTCGACAAATTACAAGAGTACTACTTTTTAAATACTCAAGAACGTTCTACATTTACTAGGGCAGTGCAGTACAGCAAATCCTCACGTCCCACGTGAATGTCATTGGGAGATTCCCCATTCACAATGAGCGCTCCCATTTAATTTCAAAGAACATGCAAAATAAACCTTAATTTGTAACTCACTATAAAAACATAATTAAGAAAACTTTTTTTTTCAGACTTATCATCCCAAAAATGGAGAGACGGAACATACCCCGAAGGTGAGTAAACTATTCACATTTATAAAACGTAGAATGATTTTACTGTAGTTCATTTGTTGAAGAATTGTAGAACTACGACGATATAAAATGTATAACGAACATCAATACTTCTAACACATTCTTCGATTTATTATTTAAATGAAATATCTTCTTCCACTTTCATTTAAATTTCATTAGTTGACAACATATCTCAAGACTTAAGCTATTAATATAACTAAAATTGCGAAAGGGAATTTTTAAATTTGGCAACCAGAAAGTGCAATGAAATTCACACACGCTTGTTCTCGCCGATTAACGATCTGCAAAGCGATAAAAGTAGTAATTTATTATGTAATTGCCGTTCTAACTTCCCTGTAGTACTTACACTCCTTCCTCAAATATCGCAACCATTCATATACTCGTATCATTTCAATTTGCCCCAAGAACTAGGTACAATTTTACACTTCAAGCAGGAGATGCTGCCTCGCAAAAGTAGGTTGTCTTTTGTTGCGTAGTATGTTAAAAATGTGTAGCTGAACTCTTACAATTAAATCACGTAAAAGGAAGAGATGTAGAAAAGTTACAACAGAAACGCTAATAACGAAAAATCGAAAACACCCAAAAACATGGTTTCGTGTTGTTCAGTACTTATTCTCTACGACTTAAAGACGTGACCGAGGTTTATAATTTTTTAACAATAGGACCACTATTCTCTGTGAACACAAGAGTTCTGAAAATGTAATTGAAATGTTTTATATTTACCAAGGTCTCTAAATGTACGATGTATTGTGCTAATTATGATTTTAATTAAGCAGGAAATCCTACTATCTACCTTAATTAAAACGTGTCAGTGATTATAATTATAAGTCATTGTACCCGGTTTACTACACGCTTCCTTTTGACGAACTACTTTGGAGATTTAGTGAACTTGTATAGGTGCAGTGTGGCTTCTGTCCCGGGTTTCAGGAAACTGTGCATGGGCGTGTTCCCTAAAACACCAAAATCGTGTGTGAAAATAAGTTGTGTAGTAAATCGGATTTAATGCCTGGTATAATCCAATTTACTGAAGGTGTTTTATATAGTGACATGTTAGATGAATGCCTTTTTAAACACGCACGAATCTTGCATTTAAAATCGCTCATTAATCTTTAAAGAAGAAAAAAACTCCCCAACTTCCCATTCGCTATGACCTCACACCCACACGCTCGTTTTCACTACACGACGAAACATCGAAGAACTTGCACAACAAAATTATTTAGCGAACAATTAACGTTTATTACATTCATATTAAGATATTAATAAAATGTTGTGTTTTTAATATAAAACCGATTAATAAGAGCAAGATCTAAAATATCTAGGGTCCAATACCTTTCATTTCAAAAAAATCATGAAATTTGGTTGTGACTAAAGCAAACTCTCTTCTAAACGAAAACCCTCAGTAATGTACTCTAGAACCCTTAAATATACAGTTTACAAACAATATTTAACTAATAACTAAAAGAAAATAATAAATCCTACTGGCTAATAAAATACTGTTCAACAAATAAACCCCTTCTATTATTTTGAAAAGCTTACATTACGTTTGTGTGGCAGGTTGGACAAACTTCTCAAATTCAAATACTTGAGAAAAATTGAATTAGTTTTCTGACCTTATTAAAACATTTTTTCAATAAATTATTTTTTTGACGCAATCTGAGTTGGCGAGATGATGTTTACGACTTCACATACATGACAAGTGATTTTATGAAATTGATATTTTTTCTAAAATGCTACCTGATTTTTACACGTCCGCTTTTTACGCGTTTTCGACAAACCTGAATCCTGGATTATTTGAAAAATACCCCAAAGTCGAAAAGTCAAAGAAAAAATATTAAAAAAATAGTTTATTGTGTTTTAATAAGGTCAGAAAACTCTTACAATTAAACGAGATAACACACGTTAGTATATTCCTTAAAACGTCAGAAAACCGTAATATATCGTTATTATCCTTTTTAGAAATATCTAGAATTATACATATGTTCATTGAATTGTACCGTTTTTTTAATTTCATTTATTTTACAGGCAATAATTCAATGGGTAGTTTTCATTGTTGATTATAACATAGTCTATATAGGATCCTTATTCTGTTCCCCAACCAAATGTTAATAAATAACACAAAAAATAAAATTTGAAGGGTCTTAATATATGTCGTTTGAACTAAGGAACTTACATTTGAACTGAGAAGTATTAGTAGCTGAACAGAACAGCGAATGGGGAAACGCAGAAATCGAATCTGCAAAACTGAGTTAGCAGTGTTTTCTACGCTCAGGAGATACACGGAATACTTTCAAATGCTAAGGATATCACCGACAGTAAGATGCCTGTGTTTTATCGAGTTGTGGAGCACAGTTCCTCCTCGTTCAAGGTAATTTTAGTGATATTGATGAACTGTTTTCAGTTAGCGCAAGAAAGCCACTTGGTAATCAGATTCATGTAACATATGTTAATTTTATTGATAAAAATTTTTAACTTATTTTTGCTTTTGGTGACTAGTACATACACAACTCAGTTTATTACTTGACTCGACATACGTTTGACTTACTAACTACATCTAAAATTAAACTTGAATAACTAGCACTACGATTGGGGCAACAGTGGTCACCTAATTAGGATCTATTACGGAGAATATTTTCAAGAATGTGTGGACGGGTCCTTATTATTGATTCTTGCGTTAATCCGTGGTAAAAAGTGAAGGGCGGTGGAGTGCTGGGTGGTTGGCGCCCCGCTCCCCGCGGCGCGTGGCTGGCTTGGGCCGCCGGGACACGTGTTGTCGAAGCGGAGCGGCCCATGCGGCCCGGGCGCGCCCATCCGCCTGCCGCCTCTCGCTCGTCTACACTTGACCGGAACGACGGCGACAAAGCGCGCGTCGCCCCGTCCGTCGCCCCGTCCGCCGCCGCCGCCGCCGCCCGTGATTTATGAGCGCGAGCGCCGCGGGGCCTCCGCGGCCGAGAGATAAATGGAGGCGGCGGAGGGCGCGACGGGCGCGTTTCGCGCCGCCCGAAAGACGCCCCCGAAAATATTTGCGCCCCCGCCGCGCCCCTGTCGTATATTACCCGGCCCTTGGACGTGGGATGCGGCCCTCGCGGGCCGCGGGCGAAAGCGACTGACCGGCGGTCGCGGTGGTGGCTAACGTGCTTCTTGAAGCGTGGCGGGCGACTTCATCTACAGCTCTAATGGGCTCCGTTGTGGGAGTACATGCACACACAAAAACTGACTACACATAAAATCGCAAAGTGTAAACCAAAATAGTTTGACCATTCAAAACTCGAAGAGAAATGAATTTGAAACTATATAGTTTCTTTATTTCACTTGAACTAGTTTTAGTCGTTTAAGATATTTTCTTCTAGGATTAGGAACTAAACTATTTTCTTCCTAGGTAATTGGATCTTTTAAGAATTTCTTATTTTAAATGACCAAAATATGAAAGAATTGGTAAAACGGCAAACGTCTTTCATTTTATGATTAATTTTCCTGCCTAAAATCAACAAGATTACGACAGAAAGCATATTATTTATTTAAATAATTAGTACGAAACATGTATAATTAATAGAACAATTAACAAAAGTGAGCCTAAACGGTCAGGATCACCTCAATACTTAGGAAAGAGATTCTCAAGATCGCCGTAGCTAAGGCGGGGGGCCTTCACTTGCGGCGCGCGTGTGAATCACGAAGAAATTGTAGGAATTACCAGGGCAGCTCGCGGTCGAGAGATCGTCTGCGGGATGAAGATACATCCAACGGCGTTCTCTTCGTTTGATCACATGAACTGGCGGTATTAAACAGGCAACTATTTTCGAGTTTTATGTCGTATTTTAACTTTCGCAAAATCGTGATTATGAGACTGTTTTCATACACATACAAAACATAGCAAACGTAAAAAAATTTGAACACAAAACATCGATGTTTAATTAATCGAGGTTGGCCCAAAAACATCGATATCTTACCCCTACTATATACTATACAGCTACGCCTCCGACATCATCCCTGCGCGGGCACGTTTGCGAGCTTCGCCTCCGAAGGCCGGCGGCGCGGCGGTGGCGCGATCTTGCGGCGCGGGCGGCGGTCTGCGTATCGCTGGGAGGCGGAAGCCGCCGTCCACCACTTCCGGCGATAGCCTCCGCCGCCGCCGCCTGCGCTCCAGTCCCGTCGCTCTTTGTAGCCCCGGCCGGCAGGGCCACCGCCGCAAATGTGCAGCAAACATCGTCTTGCGATTAGCGTAAACACCTTCTGGTACTTCTTGCCTTTTCCGCGAGTTTGGTTTAGATTTGATCAACGTATTGCTGTAGGAAATTACGTTTGCTTCAATGAAATAAAACATTCCTGGTACACAAAAAGGTTTTATGTGGTTTAATTTTCAGTTAGAAAACTACAAAATTGTACAGTGATTAATATGTCTGTGACGACGAAATCTTATTCCTTAAGCTTCGTAATCGGTGGTGTAATTAGGGTTTTTTTGTTGAAAATCAACTTTGTGGAATATGAGAGAAGTTTGTTTTTCTAAACGAAGATCCGAAAGCTCCTTCATTAGTCATCCAATTCAATTATCCGAAATTAATAATGCACACAAACTCTCGGTTGACATTATCGCCACGTCACGTAGGCGTATGAACATCGATATCCTCAACCTCATTTAACTCGCGACGTTATGAAATATTGGTTAATTAAGTCCTGATATACACTGCAGTAAAGAAAATATTTCTCAGAATTTCGAGAGAATACCTCGATCATTTACTTTTTTACATAGATCGAAGATAGATCTGAAGTGAGAAACGTAATAGAAATTTCTGCTGAATAAATGGGTAATATATTTTAATCAAATTCACTCACAATCTCAGTGTGTCCTTCGCGACAGCCATTTTGGAACCGCACTTGGCGCTCCTCCTGCGGTCGGTCGCGGTAGCCGGTGTAACGAATCTGCAAAAGAAAACTTGTTTAAAACCACATTAAGGCAACATGGACAGTTAATATTGTTAATATTTTCATTAAGCGAATCAAAGTCGGTAATTCTTTCTTTATAATGTAATAATAGCATTATGAAAATTCAAATGTCTGGAGAAATAACACATTCGCACCCATCCATCAGTACAATCGAGGACGTTACCAGTAGATTGAAATGTTTCATACACCGAACTTATTATTTTGGGAATACCATAAAATCACTTGTTTTCAAAAATTTCTAGACTCTCCGAAAGAGCATAAACAACTCCCAGTATGTATCCTGTGCTCGAAGTTTCCAGGTCAACTCCTGTATTGCACACACAACAGAAAATTAACAAAATTTTTATTTTGAAATCATATAATCTGTGAATGTTAAAAAACTACTTTACATTTTCAACTACAGTACATATCTTTCAGGAAAGTATGATGATGTCTATGGGAATATTTTATTTGTACGCATCTCTAAAATATTTTTTGTCGTTTGTCAATGTTTTAGCACCTAAATGCTCAGAAATTAATGTAATATCATAAATAAATAATTCAAAATAATTCATATTTAGAAGTTACGAAATACCACTAATCATATTTATTCATGATAGTTGTACTAATAGTTGAATACTGTATTTCTACAATATCAATTGCAGTTATGATTGTAGAAGAGACGAAATTTTAACTTTAAAAAAGTTTATGGCTGGAGTGTGATTTGACGACTATGTCATTCAGTTTCAATACACTCCTTACCTCCATATTTTTTAAAGAAATTAATAGTTAATATGATTTATTTATTGTTGTAGAAGTTTTCGGCAATCATGAATGCATGTTTGCAAGTGTTTGGGTGTAACAAATTTCCTCGCATATTCTACAGTAGTATAACAATTCGATTTATCTGCTATTGTAAATCTAAATCAATGCAAATGTAAATATATTGAAATGATACCGCTAATTTTAGACTTTGAAATAAATTTAGAGAACGTACGTATATAATATTTTATACATATTTATCAAAAGTAAATGGAGATTTACGCATTTCTGTTCTCTTCGTCAGTGAAGCTTAGGCTCGCTATCTCACGCATCCAAGTCTGTTCCTGGTATTGCGACGCGGTCATAGCATGATGCTGACCGCACTATTTCTTTGCAGTTACTTCGTAGACTTGCATCGACAAACCACACACCACCTTTCAATATTCATCACTGGAAATTCTTTATCTACGAAATACACACAGAAGTATGTAAACACAGCATATTTATAGTGAATTTTACTTTGGTTAATACTCAAAACGTAAACAAAATGTGATTTAGAAAATGAAAACCTATTCTTATTCAATATTGTACAGTCATCTGCATATTATGATAAACAGTAATTTCAGATCCAGGAAGGAAAAATGAAGTTTGCAACATTTGTTCGAAAGCATTGAGGGTTTTTGCATGTGTCAGCGTGATGCATACGTTGACTCTCCAAGTTCTTGTTGACAAATTACATTCTAATCGAGACTATTTCAGTAATACAATGTCGTTCCTATTACAATCTCGATCGAATCTGTCGCAGATTGTCTATTCAGGTATTGATATGCCACTACTGATTTGAGTTTATATATAAGAGAAGGGACTATTTAATCTACGACAATGGGGAACGTGAACGAAATATCACGAGAAGAATAGAAAGAAAAATAAAACAGTTTAAAAGCAGATATTAAAAATACACGTTTCTTGCCATCATTAATATATCATATTAGGGACTGAGAAAAGTTGGACATCAAGTCACAAGTGTCCGGAAGACCCAGGTTATCGACCTAGTCCTCCACTCTTACGGACAATAAATTGGAGGTGCAGGCCAATCGTAGTCCGGTGTATATGTTTAGTATGAATGCGAAGAGGGATGAGCCTCGAAGTTGAAACTAGGGAAAATGTAAAGTTTAAATCGAGGGATACAAACACAAGTCTTAGAAATATTCACAAAAGATGGAGCTGAGATTTTATTCAGGTAAATATCAGACGTTATTGTCGCCTATATTATTTCAATAGTATACATACCTTTTGCGGCTCTCACGCACAATAAACCTTTATAAATGAGATAATTATAAACGTTGCCATTGCCAACAATAGTATTTATTATAAGAGCAGCTTTCGATGGCTTAGCCA